AGATCCTGGGATTTTATGTCAGAATCAGAAGCTGAAAGAAGATTTGCATGGATGTTGCTATTTATATTTTATGTATGCGAACAGAACAGGAACTAGAAGCACCAAAGCTGCAACATTAAGTGCTCCCAAACAGAGAAAATCCAAAATGAGTATTCTGATTTTTCTCATCTGAACAGTAACATAAATGGTGAATGACCAGCTAAAACCCTTGCCAGTGAAATTTGCAAACTCTAGGGATAGATGAGAGAGTAAACAAATAATTGAACTCAATTAAATGCTCATTGCCTCAAAAAAGATGGATTTTTTGTATAGCTAATGGTATAGCTACAAGGCAATGCATCTAGAAAATGGAGCAGTGCTGTGCAGGGCACAAATTATTCCCATTTTATACTATTTGTGCAGCACAGTATAGCAGTAATGGTGGGCCTGGGATGTACAAAAAGAACAACATCCAGTAAGAAAAGGGGAGTAAGGCTGTAATTGGGGGCATGCAGTTCTGAGAAGTCGATTTTTACGAAAGATAAAGATTTCTGAAGAGGACTCCAGGAGGGCTAAAAAAAGGTCAGAATTTAGGGTGTAGGACTTATTCAGTTGATAAAAGATACGTTTGAGAGTTGGCTTCATCTCTTCACAAATTTCTTTGCAAAGATTTTTTACTAGATTGTACGTAACTTTCTAATGAAGGTGTGATAAAATCCAGGGATTAGCAGCTAAAGTTAAGCAAACTCTGCTTTGAGTTGAATCTTTATTTTCTGTCAGGGCAAGTGACTGAAGGCTTGAATAGTTTGTAAAAGGAAGACTAAAGTGGTCAATAAATGCTTTAAAGTATGAGTAAACTAAATTTTTCGTAAGATTAAAAGTTAATTTTTAAATTCTGTTTCTGGGAGAAATTTTGTGGCCTGTGTATGTGGGAGATTAGACTGGTGGGTTATGATTCTACCTCCAAAGTTTGACATTTGTGAGTATATATTAGCGTTGGTGCCTTTCCTTCCAGGACAGTAAATGCTCTTGTATACTTTGATGGTTTTGAAGGTTTCCAGTTGCCGTATTTTTACTTTTACTCTCTTTGGTGCATTTCTTTCTGTTGCATAAGGTGCACATTGTAACATGAACATGTTGCCACCTGAACAGTTGTGAATTAAATTGGAGAAAGAAACATGAAGTCACCCCACCTTGCTTTTTGCATCACCCTCATAATGTACAAATGCAGGTCCTGATACTCTTCAGCCATGGCTTGACTGTTAAAGACAAACTGAAATGGGAGCCACTTTGCTTTTCCATGCTGCACTATGGAGGGCAGCGAACTGATTCAGAAGTAGTAATGTTAATCCCTTTCTAGAACAGCAACTTGCATGAGAGATACCTGGAGCAAGAGCTTTGTCAGCTGCCACAAATTTATCTGCTACTGCCTCTGAGTCAACACCCAGAGGTAACAACCTCTAAATTACCTTTAAAGAAACTGCTCCTGGGCAAGTCTGTGCAACCCTCTCAGCACTGTGGTTTGGAAAAGCTTTTCACTCCCACTTTTCTCTGCTGCTTGCAGCAAAGTGTGGGCTGCTAAAGCAGTTGGGCTGAGTACCGTGACTGCACCTGTAGCTCTCACCCAGCAGCTGCCAGTGCAACAAACCCAACCTTCTGTGTGTGCTCTGCATCCAGCATTCCCAGAACTGTGATTTACCAAGGACATGTGTCGCTTCTCCTGGCTCTTGCTTAAGGTCAGCCACTGCACCTGAGGAGTGCTTTCAGAGGCAGCCCCGCATCTGCCTCCCCTTCCTCAACTTCTTCCTTCTGATCTGTGGTGTGGAAATTCCTTTTTCCACACCTTTCCAGATACGCTCATCCTTAGGCAGAGTCTCAGCCCGGACATTTAATCACAAATCATTAATAACTCAGATGATAGAACAAAAACAAACAAACAAACAAAAAATGGTCCATGAAGCACAGTAAATAGTTTTGGTGAGAGACTTTATTTGCTGATGTATGTACAAGGAGAGAGTCTGAGCTATATTGCTCCTATTTCTATTTTTAGTTTATTTTTAAATATGTAAAAAATTACATGATGTTACAAGCACATGATATGTGAACTGTCCTTAGAAATGAGGAGGTAAAAATAAGAAAGTCAAGGAGCATGCCAAATTCTATATTGATGCTACATGTCCTAAGCATTTTGGCTACAAATCCTTTGTTGTGTAAATCATATACAAATATTCTCCAACACACAGTCATTTGACTCAGCTTTTCTACTTGCACTCATCTATTGTATAAAAATTTACCCTTCTATAGACTGAAATAATTACAGCAGAGATTAATGACTTAAGCCTTGCTGGTTTAAGTATATAAATATGACAATATTTAATTCAAAACAATTTTAATTCAAAACATTAAAATATGTTCAGCATCATGGCATAAAAATGTTTACAGTATCTAGTTTCATGGTCAGTAATTCTTGAATTTTGGAGTGCCTGACAATGTCTGCAGCATGAGTGTGTGTTTATCTCTGATTATCATAATTTCTGAGTACTGTCAGAGCACTTCAGTTAATGACACAAACAACAGAATAATTTTTGTCAAAATCAGTGGCGTCATAATATTTAACTTGACTCAGAAACCCTACTGATATTTCTTACATTGTGAATGGTTGGCCACAGCAGTTCTATTTCCAAGGAAGCATTTATGGAGCTCTCTTTCATTTAAGATTATGAATTGCAATAGCGCTGAATAAGTAGAGCTTGCCTTTTTAAGATTGAGTTTGAGATGGTCTCAAAATTTCTTCTGTCTTTAAATTCGGTTATTCTAATAATGTGGTAAGATATTGATAGATATTGCTACTTTTACGTATTGTGTCAGTGATCTTAAAATAAAACTGGTAGCTGCAAACACCTACGTACTAACTCTGCCTCTGATAGCAAATCCTTTGGGGGATGTAGGCAGATTGCCAAATCTCTCCTCTACTTCCGTTCTTCAAAAATAGTGCTTGTTAGTAAGTGTTGTTTAATAGTATTGCATATGATGTGTATCCAAAATGGGGAGCACAGTAGCAGTGTGTGCCTGCAATAATTAATGTGTCAGAACACAGTAACAAGGTACTTGTGGTGCTAAATTTGACTTAATAAAGCCATTTTGCATCCCCAAGGACCCAAGAGATTCAGTATCAAAAGGAAGCAGACAAAAGCCAAGTGGCACTGGCTCTTCCAAAGATCTTTGAGAGAGCCAGGCAATCTAAGGGATGCCTTGGAACCTGTGCCATGCAGCTCTCAGATGGTCTGTGTGGCAGCTTGGGCACCAGCATGAGCAGTTCAGAAAGTTTCTGTGCGCTGATAATTTCTTGCGTCCCAAAGGTAGAAGTCCATTTGTACAGACAGTGGTCTGTCTGACAGTGACCCAGGCAGGCAAGGAATATGCTTCTTCACAAGATGGTCTGACTTCATAAGGCAGTTTCTGCACCCACATAGAAGATGGTGCCCTCAGGATCATATCTAGGACTGGCATCTTTCTTGTTGTCTGGGTGACTTGACATCCCTGGAGGTGACTGGACCAGACTTTTTGCTCTTTGAGGTTATTTCTTCAGATCACAAACATCACACGACTTACTGGCAGTTTATGTATAAATACAGCCTATTTTGCAAGGTTGTCATATGTGGTGTAGTTCTATAGTTCCATTAAGAGTAACCTGAGACACAGGGAGTGTTCAAAAGGGATGATAGCCAGAAAGACTGTGTTAGGGATGAGAATGAAAGGAAATCAGCCAGCAGGGCTCCAGGCTCTGGTTCTTGTGGAGCACCTTGGGCTCTGCTGGTTTTCGGACCCCGTGTATTGGGCAGAGCAAAGAGCAAGGCAAAAGTTCTGTATCTGCAGTAGGAGGCCAAGTGACTGAGACATGTAATCATAGACTTCACTGACCTCAGTGCATACCTGTGTTGTTTTTTACACTTTACACATAAATATCTATAGCCCACCAGTTCTTATAATTCAGTTTTGCAAGAAATACAATTTATAAACTAGGAAAACCCAGAAGCGAGATTCTTCGGTGAAAAGGTCAACTATGGGAAATTATTTCTGCAGAATGTTATCACAGAAGCTGGGTAAAAATGGAGAAAAATGCTGCCAAACACCTACTGCAGCTATTTTACATGCAGAGTACTCCAGAGAGATTTCCTGAAATCAGGACCTACAGGAGTCAAAGCACTTTCAAGACCTGGCACAGAGCTCCATCAAACTACTGCATTTTTCATCACAGCGTTGGTGGCAGTGAAGACGTAGATGTTATAGTGATGTTGCACTCTGGGGGTAGGCTTGGTGCTCCTGCTCTGACACCAGCAGCCTGGGGTTTGCTCTCAGTGTCCATACAGGTTGCAATTAAGATTTTTCTTCATTATGTAAGAAATGATTTTTGGCCAGGTGCCCGTTCCCAAACCTTGTGTATCCGTGCAAAGCGGGGAAGTGGCCTGCAGGAAATGTCTGGAACACAGTGTCTGTGGTGAACAAGACAGAGGAAATACACAGGTCTTGATTCTTTGCTGCTCTGTAGCTCTGGACAAGGTAGCTGGACAGCGCTCCAAGGGCTGCCCTAGACTGATGAATGTACACAAAACTTGACATAAGGAGTTAAGTTTGCTCTGTGGGGCCAGCAGCAGCAAGGCTTACAGAGGAATCGTGCACGGAGATGGGCCATTATGCAACCTGTCAGAGGGATAAAGTACTTCTATTTCCACTGGGCAATAAAAGTGCATATCATTAATCAAAGTAACGTAAAAGATTCTTCTCAGCATTTGCCACTACAATTCCTAGTTTGCTATTGCTGCTATAAAGGGTGTCTATTGAAGCCACCTGTGTGCAGCTGGCCACCTTCCTCCTCTTTCTGAGGCTGCACAGGGAAAGAGGAGAGCTCTGAGCATTGCAACCTTACAGCAAGGTCTGTAGCACACAAGTGGCACGTGGGTATGCTTGGAATTCTTTCTATGCCTACCAGGCATAGACTTTGTATCCATTTCTTTTCCTAGTGTCCAACAAGCACCATTTTATGGACAGCAACTTGCTCTACCAGTTCAGAATGAATTTCCGCCGGCGGCGGCGATTAATGGAGCTCCTCACTGAGAAATCTCGGTTGATGCCAGAAAGCCATGACAGCCCGTTCTGCCTGCGCAAGCAGAACCATGACAACAGGAAACACACCAGTTTTCTCTCAGGTGACTCATTAATTATACTGCTGTTTGTAGAGTGACTCCATGGAGTATTAAAAAATTGGTTTTGGACAAAGGGTTTCAGTGTTAGAAAAAAATGCAGGGCTGAGTATTATATGTCCCCGTTCATAGGGATTGTCCATTCACTCATTTTACCTAACCTACAGCTCCCTGGGGAATACCTGTATCAACAGCATTTCAGATGCTGATCAAAATTTGGGATCCATGTTCAAACTGAATTGGTTAAAGCCCCCAAACTCAAAGTAATTTGTCATACACTCTATGGGGAATTTTCAAGAAAATTAAAAGTGAGGGGAAGGGGTCCTGCAGCATTTATGAACAGTAATATCTAGTAAGAACTGAAAGAAGGGAAAGAAAAACTGGAAAAATGTAGTTCCCTATATTGGAACGCCTATTAGAAGACACTGCAATGAGAGCAGTTCAGCCATACTGTTAGTTACAGCACTACTCTCATACAGTGACTCTTCTAACAATGTAGGCCATACTAATCCATTCCCAGTGTTGTCAGTGAAAGCATAGCTTGTTGCTGGGCTGGTTTTTTTTTTTTTTTTTTTGGTTTTTTTTTTTGGTTTTTTTTTAAGAAATAGGGAAATGGCTTAATAACTGGTACCTGCTCCCTTTCTCTCTTTGTTTTCTCTCTGCTTGCAGTGAGTCCCACCAAGGAGATAAAGATCGTGTCGGCCGTGCGGAGGAGCAGCATGAGCAGCTGTGGCAGCAGCGGGTACTTCAGCAGTAGCCCCACGCTCAGCAGCAGTCCTCCTGTGCTCTGCAACCCCAAATCTGGTAAGCACCAGCATGGCTTACGATGCACAGCAGCCAGGGCACAGGCATCTCTGTGGGGAGAAGGTGACGTGAAGAATGCCTATCATCACGCCTAGGCCTCTGCTTCCAAGAATACATTAAAAATTCACAGTTTTTGTAGGCCAGAGGGAACTATTATCATCTTCTAGCCTGAAGTCCTGTTGAACACGAGCCAGACGTCTGCCTTCAGTAATCTCTGTGTCAAGTCCATAATTGTGGTTTGAGCCGCAGTTTATCTCTTAGGACTACGTGCAGTCAGAGCCCTAGATTTGCCTCTTTGCTGCCAAGCACTGAACCAATTCAAATCTCCTCTTAGAGACATTCCTTTGGTGCAAGTCAGAGAAGAGTTTAACTATCCAGTGACTGCTTGAGCTGCTATGGAGTAACACCCCTCAGAAAACAGCAGGCTCTTAAAAAAATGGAGGCAGCATTGTTTCAGCCTATCAGAAACCATTTGAACATTTTAATTTGTTTTAAGTTTTACACTGGTCTGTTTCAGAAGGTAGAAGTAGTATTGAAGCTTATTTTCCTTTTGAAAGGATTTCCTATCCCACGCCGGAAGGTTAAACACACCCATTCTTCCACAGTTCACTTAAAATTGTTTCTTACTGTACATCTGGGAAGGGAAAAACAGACCAAGATAGATATTGTTTCAGTCTCTCTGTTTCCCTCAGAAATAGCCCTGAATATCAAACAGGGCCCCTGCTGCCCTTTGAGTTTCTTATTATTTCAAATTCACCAAATCACTGCCAGTGGTGTGGGGAGTACTGTAAAACGGGCTAAGACTTCAGTGGATATGTGTAATCTTTGCTTTCAGAAGCATGCTGGCATTTGCAGTGATTACAGGAGAGTGCCTCAAGCACTAGGTGAATGCTGTTCCAAACATTGGCCATTTACTCTGGAGATGAGTGAACTAAAGTGTGTTTCATTCCTGCTGTGCAGAGTGGCCATCAGAAAGGGAAGGATATTTCCCCTCTCTCTCCTTTTAGCACATTTCCTTCCTTCTGCTTCATCTCTGCTGGGAATTCAGTATGCAGCTCTGAACTAAAATAATTAGAAGGACTCAGTAGGATTATTTGCTCAGAAGCCATAAGCCCCTCCAGCAGACCTGCTGCCCAGAAGAAGAAATGCTGTCAGTTCGAGTGGCCATTGCATCCTTGGACTGTGTTACTCTTGGGTGTTCAGCACCACCTTCCAGTACGCTCACCCCTTCATGCAAGGGGCTTGCCCCTAGATAAAGGGTGCTACAGTATCATGTTTTAGCAGAGCATCTCTCAGGTATACTTTCCAGAAATGCTCTGGTAGCTTTTGTATGGGGAGTTCTTTGTTCCCAGTACATTAATTACATCCTGGAAATTTTTCTGGAACAGATAAAACAGCATTCATGTGCTATCCATAAATGTGTGTGCTATCTTAAGTATGCCAACTATTCAGTTCATTTATGGTTCTGATTTTATATGAAGTGTCAGTCCATGAGCAGTGAGAACAAGTTTATTTTAATGCAGCTGATATCACAATACTGGAATAAAAAGAATAGGCTGATGTTGCTCTTCTATACATTTTTTAGAAGAAACATTCCCTTAGGACTAGTTTTCAAACTGTGAATAGCTTTAACAGACTCATATTTGAAAGAAGACAGCAGTGGGCTTATAAACAGGCTGATTTTTAAGAATTATACAATTACTGGCAATGTAGGGTTATTTCTCCCAGAACACAAGTACAGATCCACACATCAGCTTGCATAGGTTAACATAAGGCTGTCAGATGGAAATGTTATGAGGAATTCTTAATCCTCCTCTCACTATAAGGAGACTTTATTCACAAGTAGCTTCCTGCTATCCAGACCCAGAGCATGTTGCTGAACTACATGCTGATAAACACAAGGCAGAGGTGTATTTGTTGTCACACAAGCTCTCTTACAGGCAATCACTTAAAAAAATACCCAGGTCATGACTTGACCAACCATGTAGAAAAACAATCATCAAACAAAAAAAAATCTGGAGGCATGATGAAGAGAGGCACATAAGAGAGCTCTGCGTGGATGATTTACCAGATTCTGACTTGTCAAATGAGCACAATCATTCAGTTTTTTCACATTGACCAGACATGCTCTGCAAAGAATAACACTGGCTAAATGACAGTTCATCAAAATGCATGGGAAGGTTTAAGAAAAAAAAAAGGTATTGGTTTGTCTGCTAGAATTCTCCCTGCTCCCATGAATGTCATTAAGAAACTCAAGAACATCTTCAAATACCATCTGTGAGAAATATTGTCTCCCACTTGTGACTTTGACACCATCAAAATTATTTATCACTAAAAGAAAAACAGCCATATTATTAAGGGTGAAGCAGGCAAATCGGGTGAACAGCATATATCTTTATGTTGTCCTTTGAAGCATTTATGGACAGATAAAAAGTGGTACACAGGATGGTATTGATTTGATCTGGCAGAACTTAAAATTTAATTTGTTTGGAGGAAAATTACGCCATTACATGGGAAGGCAATGGGGACCTGCAGAAACTTACTGGTTTTGCCTTTCATTTAAAATCCCAGACAACTGTAGGTTACCTTGTCTGTCCCTGGATAAGATGGAAGTTGTAGGTCTGTGCCTGCAGTTGCAGAAGTCTCTTGAGATAATTCCTCACCCAGGCAAGATTTTCTTGCTATTCAATTCTGTGATTCAAACCCAACTCAGATGAAATAGCAGAGAGCACCCAGCAAGTACACAGTGAACTGTGAAGGAAAGATGCTCTGTGCCAGGATGGTTGGTCACTTGTTTCAACACTGGACAAAGGAAAAGCCACTTTTGCACTTTGTAATAGTGTTTAGAGGATTTTGGTTGCAGACAACAGAGTCTGTTGGCTAAATGCTCCAGTTTTCCAAAGATCTCAGCATTTATACTCAGTGTTATTCTGCCAGCTTTTCCTTGGTTCTCTTACTGCTTTCAAGCAAGTCTGCAAGAATTGAAAGCATGTATGGGAAGTGAGGCCAAAAAGATGTATCCCAACACTGTATCTTATTTATTAGGAGAAACTCCAAAGGAACGTTTTTATTGAATATTCATTTCTGTACCTCCACAGTATTAAAGAGACCTGTGACTGCTGATGAGCTCTTGATGCCTGGAGCCCCATATGTTAGAAAAACTTTTACGGTATGTCTCCAGTATTTTTCTTTATTTTCTTCATGTTATATGCATATGGGCAATCCAACAGACATTTTTTGATGGGATAATTAGAGCAGCAAATACAAATTTGCTGAGATTTATACTGCAAAATCCCAAACTCCATTATCAGTACTTCCACAAATTACAGGTCTCATTCAGCACTTGTTTATTCTGTCTTTATGCCAGTGTGATACTTAAAGGGGGTGTAAAATTACATAAAGCCAATAACATTTGTGTTATACAAACTCATCTGGACTTAGTTCTCCTGCTCTGCAGGACTGGATCACCTACCCAAATCAAAGTTTTCTAGCAGAGTCTTTCTACATAACGAGACAGAAAATTTGACTAACATACATTATTAGAGCCCTTATTTAAAAATGTTCTTGAACCTAGTCATTGGAAGCATTGCTTTTACAGCCTCCTAGTTCAACAAAGAAACTTCATTAAAAGTGAGAGGAATCATTGGGATAGAGCCTTTCCCATGAGTGACATAGCAGCCTGTACTCTACTATGTGTTGGAAGTACTGAGATGTTGAAATTACATCTTGGACCATTTAGCAGTTGCCCTCTTGAATGTCACGGAGCTGTTTGAAAGAGATCATGTCCTTTCCTCTTTGCAGATCGTTGGCGATGCCGTGGGCTGGGGCTTTGTGGTGCGGGGGAGCAAACCCTGCCACATCCAGGCTGTGGACCCCAGCGGGCCAGCGGCTGCGGCTGGGATGAAGGTGGGTTCTCAAAATGGGATGATTTCCCAGGGAAATTTTTGCTGCTCGGTGAAGGTCTTGGGTTGCCTGCATTTGGGGAGGGAGAGGTGCTTTTTTTTCCAGTGCGCCTTTGTCTCAGTTTCAGGCATTTGCGCACAGGGAGTTCTGTTGTCTTTAAACACCCTCCTGTTTCTTTTCTTCTGTCTCTGAGATTCTTGAAGTCTCTTTTTCACATGAGACACAATTATTCTTTCCAGGTTGTTCTTTTGACCTTTTTCCTTTTTGAGGTGGGTTTTCATTCATGTGGTTGGCTGGTTTTGGTAGTAGTGGTGTTCTTATTTTTTGATGGATTTTTTTTTAAATTGCAATTTTTTTTAACTCTGCACAATTTTGGCTTCCCTCTTTACAATTTATGTGACTGCTGGTATGCACCTTCTGGATTTTGCCTTTATAGGAACAGGCAAAGACAGACATACCTAGTGAGAGTGAAGCTAGCATAGCCCATTGTTCAGCATAAAGCAGTTAAGATTCAAGACAGTTTGGAAAGAACAACAGATAATATTTTCATAAAGAGCCGAAATAGCTTCATAAGTGATTTAAGAATCAATAAATACACGTTCCACTTTTAGCTTTTGCACTGCAATGCAGATCCCATTGACTTACCTGTGGTCTTGGATCACATCCTGTATATATCTGTGAATTAATCTCTGCCTTGTACAAAGATAAAAATAAAGGCAAAGTATTATGTTAAGTAAGATAAAAGCAAGAAAATTAAGTTACCTGCTACACCTGCTCCAATGGCCAGAAAGATTAAACTACCCATTTATGCCATGCTTCATTGTATAGCAGCAATACAGATGAAGGTTTCAGGTGTATTCCACATCTACCCCAGTTTCCATGAATTTTGTCCAGCCTTCTAATTCATGTATCTTTTCCATCACACTCATCCCATTTGTCTGTGACCTGTCTATTCACACCCACCAAGCTGGAGGCCACGGCTCCAGGGATGCACATCCTGCCTGCTGTATGGTGCCAGACCTGCCCTGGGACCCTCCTTAGCAAGTGCAGGACAGGGGTTCCTGCTCTCTGGATGCTGATTCTTTTTTTAATGGAACTTTCAAGCACATGCTGTCTTTGAAACTTTTTTTTAGTACAGGTAGACAAAACCCCTGGGACAGGGAATGGCAGCTGCAGAGCTTGTTGGTGCATGCAGCACCCAGACACATCCTGCTGGCAAACAAGCTTGAGTTCCAAGGAAGTTTCTGAATATAATATACATTTACAATTTTTATATGACGAGTATAATTTTCAAATAATGACCCTGCCTAAAATGTAAAGGGCCTAATTTTAAAAATAATTTATTAATTCATGTGTGTATTCTAAATCCTGAACTTGGGACCTTAGTATTTTACAGCAGTTTTATTCTCTGAATATAGAAGCTAGCAATACAGTGGAGCGATTCTGAAACCTGACTTGTAAAAACAACACTCTGGTGTCATATGTGTCATCCCATGGGGTTGCAGAGGTCTACCTGAACCATTCAAGATTGAGGAGTACAAAATAGTTCACTGTCCTGAGAGGAACAACCAGTGTTGTAAAACTGGGATATATTGCCTTGATTTTACACAAGGACAGATCTGATTATTTTCAAAGCTGTTATCTTTATATGAAAGTGCTTTTCAGAGCAGAATTGCACATAAAAATTTATAGCTGTATATGAGATGAACCCCTCTTTAGACACAAAAATTGTTGACCCATTTTTGGAAATGCTGAATACCTTTAGCCTAGTAAAGAGATGGTGTTTTTCTTTGAAAATAAGGGCTTTTGTTAGATGTTCCCATGGCAATACGTATGTAAATCATAGTGCAGTATTTGAAATTTTAAAAAAAATCTATGTCACTTAATCCATCTGTTTACAGAACTCCTCAATCTGTCAAATTTAAAGAAATCAAATGACAGGCTTTAGATGACAGCTCCTTGAAATTAAATATTCCCCTGTGTGGAAGCTGCAGGAAAGGCACTTTGAAAACAGGCTGTTGGGCATGGTAACTTCTGGTGGGCTGGTGCAAGAAGCTTTTGTCTGCAAAAAGAGTGCTACAGCAAAGAAGCACTAACAAGGAAAGTTGGCTATGATGAAAAGGCCAAGAATTTGAAGAAGGGCCAAGCCTTGGCGTTGCAGTTTGTCGAAAAGTTCTTGGCAGTAGCAGCAGGGATTTTCCTCCTAAGGAGATGCATCCACTGTAATTGTTTCTAGAATGTCTTTATTTGTAAAGCTTGTGGTTTTGCACTTGTCTGCTTTGGAGAGCACTATTTCCCTGTCTTTGCATTGTGCTGGGCATACTGTTGAGAGGGGACTGCTGCCTACAACGTCATTGTAGGACCTTGGTTTGTGCATTTAAAATTCCACCATATATCACAGAAAGAAGTAAACATTGCAGGCTCAACCTTACCTGCTGGACTTAGTGGGGACTTGCTTTCAGTTTGAGCTTGTCTGGGCTCTTGGCCTGCTCCAAAATGCTGTGAGTTGGGAGTCTGAGTAGAAAACTCGGGACAGAGCTCTGACCACCCTCAGTGGCTGTGCCTGGGCACGGAGTGAGTAGATGGGACACGTGGGCTCTGTCACACATGTGCACCTCAGCGTGGCAGCCTTGCCATCTCCTGATGTGTGACATCCTCTTTTGGGGAATTTTCAGACAATTTACTTCTGACAAAATCCCTACTAGCATGATCTGCTGAAGATGTGTGAGAGGCTACAAGCTTTAGGATTTAATCCCTCTTCTGGGGCTGGTAAATAGGTTACCACTCACAGTCTGAAATTTCAGGTGTGAAGCTGAGAAAATAAATCAGTAAATATCTAGTCAATTAGCTTTATTAAAGTATTTTTGGACCTGGTTTGCTGAAGTGTGTTTGGCGGTGACAGTGTTGTGAGGAGAGTGGTTGCTGCAAGTGCATTAACAAGTGGGAGCTGCAGGCGACGCGAGGCTATGAAAGGAGTCAGTGTTGTGATGCGTTCTTCTAAGTTATTTGCAGCTCTGTTTAGCTGTCTGCTGTTGTCAGCAGAGCAGACTGGAACAGCAGGATTTTGAAGTTCCCAGGTTGCTTTAAAATTCATTACTGACTGGCTGAAAAATCTGGTTCTCTGCAGATGACACTGCTAAATATTGCCGGCTGTTGTCAGTAAAACTATTTTTCTCTTCTTTTAGTGATTTAGTCTGTAAGTTCATTTCTGCTTTTAAGGTGCAAGTATTTTTTGAAAAGTTACAACTTGACTTCAAACTAGTGACTCAAATTATGCATCACATAACAACGTGATTTACTGTGACATAACTGCAACAGAGTGTGATGGAACAAGCAGACCTAGCTAAGTATGAGGCTTGTGAGAGAGATAAATTAATCACTCATTTTGCTGATCATCTGTTCTCCCCACTGGCTGGAGAAATCAATGCCTACTCAAACTGTTAGAAGAAAGCTATCTGATTCCTTAAAGTGACTCTTAGCAAATTAGTATTTATAGCTGTGACACCTAAGGTCCTCATATCATACATGTTGCCAGTGACTGTTTAAGCTTTTCAAGCCTAGTTCTTCATTTCAGCAGCAGGGAGTCAGCAGCAGGGAGTTTGAAGGACCACGTGTTGTCACTGGTACCAACACCTTCTGTTTGGAGTTCAGCTTGGGAACTGTAATGTGCAGCCAGGACCCTTTCAGCATGGTTCTGCTCTCCCGAGCTCTAAAAGCTGGCACAGGGAGGAGATCGGCTTTATATATTTTCTGCCTGTGCATTTGTGTTCTGCATTCACAAGTTATTATTTCAGGTTCATCTTCTCAAATGATTTCACTAGCAGAATAAGAATCAGCTCTCAAGTGTAATTGAGTTGCCACTGTGTCAAGAAGCCAATGGGTGTCAGTTCATCAAGGTCATCAAGCCCATTTCATGCAGTCAAAGGAACATCTGTACTATCTGATTAGTCCAAAGAATTAAAGTACTGCCACAATAACAACATATTACAGATTTGTAACATGGAAGACTAAAAGGCACACATTATAAATGTCCAGCAAGGTGAAAACCAACCCAAAACCATGTGATGTCAGAGGAATTGCCAATGCCTTATGTTCCTGAAATTGAAACAGTGAGAGTCTCATGAAGTTGAACGTACCTCGAGCTACAGAGAAACACAAAACCCATTTGATGGTCCTTGCCAAGCTGACCTCAAACACGTGGATCCCATAACTGTTTGCAAGCAAGATAAATCAGTCTAAAAATCCTTAAAAAAGACCTTCCCCCAGGAAGAAGTATCCCAAGTCCAATTTCCAGTCTTTTACAGGATAGTGGGAAAGGTAGAGAAGCATTGATATTGTAGGTGAGAAACTTCTTTGTAATTCCTAAAGGCACCCTAATGTGAGCTTGAAAACTGGGATTTATATTGTATCAATAAGGCACAAGGTACATGCCTCCATTTAACCCTCTCAGTGAAGTTTAGAAAAGAGAAGATACCTCAGTGTTCGGTGCTGGACCTGCAGCCCTTCAAAGCACTCCAGGGATGATTCAGTGCTAATTGAAGCTATCGGAAGGGTACTTTCCTTTTTTCATGGAATTGAGCTTTAAATGAGAAGATGGAGTAGGCTTGGATAAATATTTATGCTGTGCACTAGCATATGGTGTTGTTGAAGCAGATGCAATTCAGTCTTAGAATTCTTATCTTATACCAACATGTTACTGATTGTAGAAAAGCATAAATTACACAAGTTGCCATCTGTTTTCAATTACAGCATGAAAACACTGAGGCAGGTTGGGATTTTCCTTTAGCTGTGTTATCAGCTCACTGCTGAATTTGATAATTACATTAGAGTGAGTTGAGAATGGATGTATTTGGTAATGTGAACACTCAGAAAAAGTTGCTGACAAACTGCTTTCATAGCTTGTCCATAAATAGAGAAGCAGCAGAGCTAAACATGCACTAGCACTACCCACAATGAATGCCACTGCTGTAGGCTTGAATATAAATGTATATATAAGTTTCAAG